AGAGAGAGAGAGAGAGAGAGAGAGAGATCTTTTTGGCTTTGTTCTTTGTCCCTTACTATAATGCTTTTCTGGCTCTTCAGCATAACCAATTCCTATATCACTTCATGGCAAAATAAAAAATGTCAACTTCCTCTAGAATTTTAAACTGAGTAAGCATCTTTCAAACAATTCTATTCCTTCCTGTATAGGCTTTCCGTTTAATTACAAATTTTAAATAGATTGTACTCAAATGTTTATAAATTTTAGGTACATTGACTATTTGCAATTTATTTCTGCATTCTTTAGATGAATATATTGTCTTCCACATAAGACTATTTTGACAATTTACGGCATGTTTTCTGCGTTTACTGAATTAGTCTTTATGTTTGGCATAATCCCATATGTAGAGAAAGTACTCAGTAATTTATCTGTTTGTCCTAAAATAAAGTAATATGAGAGCTCTACTTATTTACTTGAAGTGTAATTAATTTAATGCATTAAATTGTGAGTTTCATGATTATTTTCACAAAATACACATTGTTTAAATAATCTAAAATATTAAAAATGTTCCCTAGCAGAACTCATAGAATATAGAACACCAAATGTGAACCGTTAGCAAAATTCCAGGGGTTCAGTCTTGGTCTGGGTGCTCATAGCACGAAAGCCAGTGACTGAGACTATATGTGTTGCCAGAGAAGAAGGCTTTAATTGGGTGCTGCAGCCAAAGAGATAGGAGCTGTCTCAAATCTGTCTCCCTAACTGACTAAAACCAGGGGTTTATATAACAGGGAGAAGATGTAACTGTGTAAGAAAACAGGAACTATGGAGGGGAAAGGACACAGTTATGATGAATGAGGGGCCTAGCATCTTATTGTCTGGATGTGATGACCTGGTGAGTTTTAGTTCTTTGATACTTTTTGAGTGGGCTAAGGAACCCTTTCCTGAGGAAGGAACTCAGATAAAATAAAAGTATCAAGCTTTAAGAACAGAAGGATCAATTTCATTGTTTATACAAAAATAACTGTCTATGGGACTATTGGATCAGTTTCAGAACTTTAAACAATAGAATTTTGGTTATCATGGTCTGCCATTGTATTCATTAATTTCAACAAATGTGCCATTCTGTGAGGGATATTTATAATGCGTGAGGCCAGGCATGTGTGGGGACATGGTTATATGGGAAATCTCTGCACTTTCTATTTAAATTTTTTCTATGAAACAAAAGCTGCTCCAAAAATAAAGTTTGTAAAAACAATATTTGTCAATAATTATAGACATTTTTATATTTAACATTTGGAGTAAACTTTATTGAGAAAGTATAAAAATAAAAATATAATTGAAATACATCAAATATAAATATTTTTAAGTAAATAAGAGACTAATTCATGATGTAAATTTATTAATAAAATTAAACACTATAATTTAGATGAATAGTGTGAAGGATTTCTATGTGAATGATACTTGACCAGTATAAATACAGGAAGTAAAAATGTACCTAATATTTTGCTTAAATAGAAATAAATACTTGTATCAATTAATGTCTTTAGTATATACAAAATTTCTCTTTATAATACAATGAAGTTTAAATATAAATTAAAAACAACTTTGTGAAGAAAAATTTAAAATGCTGGCGATTAAAGGGTCAATTATAGTTAAATGCTAGACTATTTATGCCAAAGGAATATTAAGCAAACTATCTTTTCTGAGCTCCTTGTAAAACTATGGTTTCCATACACTCTATCATATATTGCTCTTATAGAAAAATTAAAACCTATTTGAAAATAAAGCACTGCAATATAAATTCTAAATAATATATACAACTTACATGCTTTGTGAAACTTTTGCTTAACATCATGAATAGTAGATGATTGTGTCACCTGAAAAGGAAAAGAAAATAGAGTTATTTTTAAGAACTGTTAATTTGTTTTCTATCCATTTAAGGAAAAGAAATTTTAACTATATCCTAAAATTCTTACACAATAAGAATTTTTGCTTGGTTTATCTTTTTAGTGATTGCTATTTTGACAAACTTGAAATGTTGCAATCAGCAAAAATATAATTAAAAAAATGTTTGTATACAACAGTAATAGTTTTAACACATTAATTCAATCCAATTTTTATCCGTAAGATATATTTTTGAATTTTCCTTGTCCAAAATATTCAATGCATTTTTCCACATCTCATAAAACTATAAATTAAAAATATGTCTTAATGCACAGGAAACTAAAATAATGTATAGCAATAGTACCTGAAGATGTGAAGTTAATTTATATGGACAAATGAGAGAAATGTTTACCTCTGAATATCATGAGACAAAAGTCACCTTAAGCCCCCTACTGACATTATTTAAATCCCCAAATAAAAGTACTAAATGTCCATTAAAATGCTTGTGAG